TTGCACTTGGCCTCACTGAACTTCAAATTCTGTGTTTTACATCATTGTAAAAGCTACAGTAGAAGTGCTAGATACACGTTAACCACTCTTGCTTTCATGCTATTTTCATTTTTTAAAGTGCTGTGTATAGTTACATTAATTTACAAAATACACCTTGTACTTTTAAAAAGAAAGTTATACCACATATGCAGTTACCAGTTACCCTAAATTTCTAGTGTATATTATTGGTTTTAAGATGTAACCATCACACTTATTTAAAATACTGAAAAAACTTATCTGTAGTACTAATGCATCAATTACTAGTTTTGGTAAATTTAAATATATTTCAGACATGATGATGCCTTTTAAAAAGTATGTATTAAAGCTACTTGGTCTTTTAAACACACAACTAAAAGCACTCTGTTTATTTCGAACTGGAAGGTTTCCACACTGTCCATGTCTTTCTATACTGTCAACAAACATATTAAAATAGATAGTTGGTTCAATTTATAGTGTATTACAGACAGAATAGCTTACAGAGATTTTTCATCTGGTCTGATGCCAAATCATTGTTTCAGGCATAAACTTTTTATTTCTTTTATACACATATGCACATGCACATATGGATTCACTTATCTGTTCAGAACTAGGATAGGGATCAACAGTAGGTAAAAATCTCCAAAGTGCACCCTACAATACACAGCATGTGCTCAAGTCAGCACATATTCAGGGATCAGATGGAGTCAGTTACTGGTATCACAGAAAAATAGTGATAACACTGAACTAAATTTTGGATTTGTGTTAAGCAATACAAAGCGGTTCTATTTACTGTTCCACTGACCTTCTGAAAGTACTTCAACAACTCAAAATGCCACTCTCATTGCCGTTTTGGAAGAGACTTCCTCCTCACATCACCCCCCAAAAAAGGCATAAGCCAACAAAACAACACAAAAAGACACTCATTTTTACAGCAACTTCTTACAGGCTCAGGGCACAAATAACAAGATGCAGTTGTCCCTAGAAAGTGTCCCTTTCTTAAAAAAATGCACGCAAACACAGCTGGCAGAGTGCTTCCAAGACCAGCATAGTAGTTAAAATTATATTTAGCATGTAGTGATTCTGACCTCATTGTTCTTTCTAAATGCTGTATGAAATGCTATGAAAAAGAAAATTCAATTTTGAAAACCCACAGTTCCATGAGCACTGGAACAATACCAGCCAATTACGAATTTTATCCCTCACAGTTGACTGGTGTTACTCCGAGAAGCATTCCACATGCTTGGAGCACATACAGGGCTCTTTCAGTCAGCTCCCTGGTGTGCAGTAAGGGATGAGTTAAAGCCGCTGCCTTGAGGAGGAGGAGTGAGACAGCCTGCTGCCTACACTCACAAGACTTACTGGAATACAGAACACATTGAATATTAGGTCTGGTTTGGATTGGCCAATGAGTTAAGACATTTTAGGGTGGCCTGACACAGAGCTCAGTCACATTAACCACACTCTTTGGGAAAACAAACTAAACGTAGTCATATAAAATAAACATTAGGACAAGCGTAATTAAATGTTCTGGCAATTAATTTACTTACATCTCTATCTACTGTTGTTGCAAAACCAATAGCTTCTTTCTGCGTGCAGTTGACAGCCTTCTGAAGAGTATAAATAACTTGTTCATAGGTGTGGACTTCATCATTAAACAGCATGCAGTAGTAAGTGTCACTCTTCTCACTTCAAAGCAAGAATTGAATTGATATAATTCAAAGAAATGTATTCGAGAAAAAAACTTTAATAAGCTTTTCTACCATGCAGACAACCCAAGCCTGGGTTTCCTTTGCAATACTGGAATATGTATCAACAATTTGTTTGAAAAGGACTGACCACCCTAACTTCAATAGGAATGTGCGTCTTTCCTGCAGAATTGAGTCCAAAATGAACAAAACCTTAAGACAACACTTAAATCTGACTTATTTTTGAACATTTGGTGATAACGGATTGATAGTTTCCTACTAAGAAAAAGACATTCCCTTGTTGAGCACAGCTGCACTGGACATTTCCCCACAGCTTCTTAGAGGATTCACCAGTCCTGGCACTATTTTCCCACACCTGTTTCCCTAATACTGCATAAAGGTCTATTCGACTAAAAAAAACTTGTCAGTCTCAAAAAAAAAACCCACTCAAAACCTGCACAATCCTCAAAATGACAACTTCTGAAGCTTACACAGATTCAGTGCAATCTCTTGATTCCCATCATTTATTTACACAGCATTCTTACTCACACAACCCAGCGTAAAAGAAATCACTAACAAGAATCCATGTCACAAACGAATCCACGATAACTATGATGCTACAATACACTTCAACACTCTGTAATGCTTCAAAATTTATTGCAAGTGGGTCACCAAAAGTACAAAATACTTTTGCCATCAGAATTTCAGTAACTTTGATCATAACAAATTAACCTGTCACTTCTTTTAGGGTTCTGTATTTTACTAATACTTCCTTTTCAATATTAAGAAACTTAAGGTATCAGAAACTGTTCTGCCATCTCTGTGGAGGGACATGGGCTGCATAATCACAAAAGGAAAAAAATGAGAAAAAATCTATTAAAATTATTATAGTGTATTGTCTATAAAATATTCTGGACAATTTTAGGAAAGGCAGAAAATACACTTAAAACCAGAATTTCCATTTTCTGTTGTAAATATCTGCAAGCCTTTAAAAGGCAGAGGACATACTATACTCACCTCATTTCTAGGCCAGGCAATTCATTTTCCTTTTCCCACGTTAATATATCTACTGCATATTTAAATGTGATGGCAAAAATATTATAAGCTCTTGCTACCATGTCTTCTGGTAAATGCACAAGAGGATCCTGGAAAAGAAATATTAAAAGCAATTGAGAAATTCAATGACATTCAAACCAGAAATTTTTAGATTTGCACCTCTCTATCAAAGATGATATAAGCATCTTCAATGATGTCTCTCTTCAAACAACTTCACATTTGAAAGGAACAGAGTCAATAACCATCCTGTTTTCTTCTTCCAGTTCTTCACTGACAGTGTTGACTTGCCACTGATCACCCCCTTAAATTTTCACACACCTCCATTTTCACTTTCATTATTCCCACTTCTGCACACCTTGCAGTATAGTTCTTCTGAAGAACCTTTAACCTCAGCTGTATGAAAATCTGCTTTTCCCATGAGGCCTTCAAAAGCATCATTTGAATTACTGTATCTTTTGTTCTACTTACCAATATTAGTAAACTGCACCAACAGAATACAAACAACTAGGCATCTACTACCTTGGTTTATATGGAGTGTGCACTTAGAGGCAGAACTCTTACCTATCCAAGCTCATGCAACACCCAGCACACTGGGCTCATGATTTACAACGTACATCTCTCACATGCTGTAGTATATAGTTAAATGCTTAAATATATTTCATAATGATCTGCCCATGTCTCAGTCTTGTTCACAGACAGCTGTTCCCTTTTGTATGTGGGTCACTTGTGCCCATTCTGCACTCTCCAGGGTGCCCCCCACCTGACATCTGCAGCAGCCTCTATACACTCATCCTGCCCTCTCTCCCAGAGCAGAATGGCTGCTGCTGCAGGTGGGAGACGTGAAATGAGGAGGGTGAGGACGAGGAGTGCTGCTTCAGTCTGCAAAGCCAAAGGAACTACTTTTTGGAGCAGCAAGTGAGAACCACTGCCAACTGTGAATTGGGTAGTACAGGTACCACTGCCATTTCCTACCAATCTATTTCAAGGTATTTATCTCTGTGTGAATAGAAACACATTAAAAACCTCTTCTCTGAAGAGATTCTTCTACTATTTCCCATTTTTGATGTTCAGGAAAACCCATCCTTCTACAAAGCTGGGAAGGGAACACTGCATACCCAGCAGGTCACCTGGACATGTACTATGCATTGGGTCACTGACTCAGTTCAAAATATCAAATGATGAATTATGTGCAATTGTTAGCCAATTAAAATATTCAACAGTAGCCCAATTTCTGGTTTAGGATTACCTAATACCAAATTCTGTGCTTCACTACAGTTTATGTTGTATAAAAATGGCCACAATAATATTTTCAGAACTTAAGTCTGCATTATCTACTGGAGGCCCTTGTCAGGCAGCAAATCACCTGTATTAGTAAAGTTCATCCACATCCCTCCAAGATTGTTTGGAATACTTGGAAGCCTTACAGGAATATTAAAAACTGCCATTTCTCTTTTTTTGCTTCATTCAAAACTCATCTAGGGTATGGAGAAGTGTCAATCAAACGTAAAGGCAAACCTTAAGCAGCAACACTGCCTCCATTCCCAGTACCTTCAACAAACACACGTATCCGGGCAAGGCGACAGCAGGCTCTGATAACACGCTCAACAAGCGATCCTTGATCTACCTCAAACACGATGTTGCGTAACAGATCTCAATCCCCATCGCTCACAGGGAAGAAACACAAAGACTGCCCAGTCACACTCACTGTGTGAGCATTTTTGGACATACAAGTGGCAGTCCCACCCGGATCTCAGAACAAGAGTTTTCTAGGGCTGCCGACTAATGGAAACTGGCATGCAGATCAAGTGGTGAGTCCATGCCGCAGATCTAGAGTCTTAGGGTTCAGACAGCGAGAACAGCTGTCAGAAGGACCACTGTCACTGCAAATACAGTTAGCAAAATTACTACAAAAATTTGCCTTATTTTCCCCTTCAAGAGAATCTCACAGAAATTATATTACTAAGAACAGCCCTACGTGGCTAGACCAGAAGCCCAACTAGCCACCCTCATTCCCGAGATGCAGTAACAGATACTAAGGGAAGGGTATAAGAAAAGGATGGAGCACTCCTCTGACCTCCTATAACTTAAGACACTAACAGTTTCCACATCATGGTATCTGCAATTTTAAATGGCCACTGACCATTTTTCCCCTCCAGAAACATGTTAAATTTCCTTTTGAACATATAAAAACTTGTAACAACAATGGTGTTTGGTAGCAGTTAGTCCAACAGCTGGAATTCATGCCGTGAGAAAGAGCATGTCTTTTTGCATTTATATTAAAAAATATATAAAAAGTCCAAGTTGTTATGCTACAAGAAATGGCAAAGATATGTTCTCCATTTACCTTCTCTATACCAAACAAGCTTTTATAGACTTCTACCTTGTATCTCCACTACAGCTTTCCACTAACAGCAAGGTTTTTTTGATTTAAAAAACCTGTGCCCTTTACTTTGGTAAGAATCAGAACATATGTTGCACAGACAGCTTAATTTGGCTTCCCCATGCACATGATTACATACAGATTGGTTTTTTCCCCACACACAGCAGACTCCCTTCACCTTTCAGAATAAGACAGAAAAACACAGACACAGAACTAAAGCTGCAGAGGTGACCAACACCATATAAAATAAAGCTTTTAAGTAGAATATGTCATTCTAAATAACTTCTTCAGTTAGACATTAATTTTGTCTAACACAGTGTGGTTCAAATATTACTATTAAATTTCCTCCCATCGCTCAGGCATGGTATACAAGATTAAAATTAACTTCATATGACCGATTTATATATATACACACACACACAGTTCATGTTTGAAAACATGCCACCTCAATTGTTATTACCTCTTCTTCTGCAGTCTCTGAAGTGTTAAGTTCATGCTTTTGACAGTAAGGACCTTCTTTCCAAGCTTCTGTATCACCACAGTCACAGAAACCTCCTCCACCTGATGTTGTCATCTATAATTATTTAAAAACAAACCAATTCATGTGAATACGCAGGTATATACATGCACGTTTAGAAATGAGCGGTCACAGCTGAAGTACAAAGCACAACCACAACGCCAGATAGCTTTAGCCAGAAGGGTAAAACCATGCTTCTACAATGGCTGAAAGTTTAGCTACTTCATTAATCTGCCTATGCCAAAAGAAATGAGAAAAACAACACACTCCCTCTCCTACCACCTCCCCCCTCCAAAAAAAAAACCCCCACACACCAAAAAAGCCCCCACTTCTAACACTCCCAACTGTACCCCATGTGAATGCTGTGGGGTTTTCCTGGTTTTGGTCTTTCTGATTCACTCACTTGCAATGCCATCTGTACTATTTCAGATTCTCACATATTTAACCTGAACAAAGCCAAATCATTTCCTGTATCTTTTACTCACTAGTAGTAGTGCTGTGTTGTTCACAGTAACTGGAGTTTACAGGACAAAACTTACAAATTGTTCACTTAAGTCTTAGCACAGAAAAAAGTATCTGAAAACTATAATGATATATTTACACTTTAATAAAATTTATTTTAAAGCCAAGACCATCTCAATTGCTAAGTATAATAATACTCCTTTTGAACCACAACTATTAACTGATTCAGAGAAGAATTCCCCTTTCACCTATTTTCAGCACACAGGTACATCTACAGCATCCACAAAATCAGATGGACATCTGAAAGAACATCTGCTTACACTTTTGGACGTCCCCTAGACTTGTCAATTCACTGAGTTTGCAAACTGAAAGCCTACATACAAGATGTATGCTGATACCAGCAAACTGGGTCGCTTCTTGGGGCCAGTTGTTGTGTTTGGGGTTTATTTTTCCCTAAGCCCCAGTGCTCAGTTTGACCATGCAGTGATCAGATTTACATTAACAGCAGTGCGGTACTATCAAAAACAGGTTTACAGAAAGGTTGCACTGGTAGTTTTCATTTAGTGTCTTAGTTTAAAAAAACACACCAAAGCCTTCTTGGTTTTGTTTGTAGGTTTATAGATTTCCAATTTTTAACTGATGTGTACAAGTAGCAGTATATTACTACATGAAAGAGCATCTACAGCTTCAGTTTTCTATTTTAACTTTGTTTAAAAGCAAACAAAATTTCTGTTATTGTACGGAATTTGATAATAATTCAGATGTTTAAAAGGAGAAAGTTTATAAATAAAGGTGGCTTCTTAATAAAGGTTTTTCAATACCTCAAGAACAGTCAAACACCAAGGTCAAAGCAAGTCAAAAATTCTAATGCTGTCAAATTCACTAAAGAGCACGTTAAAAATAACGTGCATTTGTAAGCTTAACTGTGTACGTAAAATTTAATTGCTCAATATTTTAAAGTGTTAGCTTTCAGAATTTACACTCTGATCAAAACACTGAAGTTCTAAGATTATTGCAGACATAATTCCCAAGCTTGTGTTCATCCAACATTTTGAAACGATGTATACATTCTTGAAGTTTAAACACTGAGTTTCATACACATACAAAATTATTAATGACTACATCACGTATTCCAGCAGCATCACTAACCCTGTATCGATGCTCTCTATGAATACTTCCAAGAAAGCACTCCATGCATAATACACAAGTGGGATCAACTGCACAGTCTCTGAAAACAGGGGAAAAAAAAAAAACCACACAGAGAAAAAAAAGCAGCATTAAACAAGTGGTTTTGCCTTTAGCTAAACATTTCACAAACAGCAATTTTTAAGTATCACCAGTATGAACCTTCTGACTAATGTACACATTATTCTGAAAGAGGAAAGGGCTGGCTTCCAAGGAGGAAGAAAAATGAAGGAGAAAAAAGCTGTTCTCGTAACAGAAGAGGCTTTAAAACATTGCCTGGGTAGCATATATATTTGGGCAATATAGCCATGCCTTCAAGAGATAAGACAACTCTATAAGCCAGTAAACAGAACACAGTACAGACAGACAGGTGAGCAGTATAAACCCAAGCGAGTTCTCTCAAGTACAGATTACAAGCATTAACAATCTCCAGCAATCAGAAAAGACATTTTTCCCCTGAACACTGGAAAGATAGCACACAACAGATTAGATCAGACCTCTGCTTCTGAGTTTAGCCCTACAAACTCACTGAAGAGGCCCAAGAAAACAGTTTTCAACCAGGAAATCAGAGACCATAATAAGGGCCTGTCTACAAGCACTGTTCTATTAGATAGAAGCAATATTTCTAGCAAAAGGGGCAAAAAAATGAATAATTGTGCATTACATTTAAGTGTCTCCCTGAGAAACACTTAAAATACGTGAACCTATGTAATGCAGCTGACTTCAAGGCACTTTAAGGGAATCAGGCTTTGCAATATGAAAATAACTACCAAGACAATGAATGTCTTATGATCGTTATTACTGAAACAAGAATTTAGAGAAACAACTTTGTTCAAAAGAAAACAGCAGAGATAAATTAAGAGAATTGTTGATAATAACATTTAATTTCACCAAATAAACTTGGTAATCTCTGAAAGATGATCAGGCAACCACGACTTACTATGCATAAAGTACCATTTTCACGTGTTTTCTCCAGAGGAGCCACTGAAGGTGAAAATGTCAAAGCAAAGTTATACAACGCTCTTCTGTTTGAAAATAATTTATGTTCATGGCATTTCAGAAACACTTATTGCAACAATATGCCTGCAGTATTGAGAAGATTAGTTCTACAATATTGGGTATCGATTCTTCAGAACCCTAAACTTGTGACAATACACCTACAAGCTCAGTACCATTTGCCAAGTAATTTCTCAGACAAACAAGGGTGCTTATACCTAAAGCAGAAGCAAACAAAAGCTTCACAATGGGACCCAAAAAGCCACTACTTCTAATTTGTTTCATGGACTCAGAAAACAATTCTTTTCTGTGTCCCACAAAAATTTAAATTAAACTCATTATTCTTCATTACCAGCTACAAAGTCAAAGAAAACCATTAACATACAACAGGAAACATTCAACAGTGTTACATGTATGTGCAATGCCTAGTCAAAAGATCATGAGGCTCTGTCTGAATAGCAGCAACAGCAGAAATATTCTGTACTCACTGCTGACCCTGACCTGAGCAGGAGATTGGACAAGACAGCCGACCAAGACATCCTTTCTAACCGGAATATTATGATTATATTGCTGTATTTAGATCATTTTTCTACTGAAACAAATACCCCGAGTACAAACAGTACATTCATTCATTCTCTAAATTCTATGGCAATGGACCACATTACTCCATTTTCATTGCATGGGAAGTATTCTCAAGGATATACTTCATATATTGAGTTGTTGGTCTTGAAAAGGCTAGTGTCTAGAAGAAATTAACACAACTCCCATGGTTTTCATCAGTCCCTGTGAAAGGCATTTGATATCTAACATACTACTTCTAGGCTGCAGTGCAATTTGACTTGAACTGAAACACTACTTCAGAGGTTTGGGTTTTTTTAGTTCATTGGGATCAGATTTCATGAAAAGGTACTGAAGAAACTGTGGAAATTTTTTATAGCCTCTGATAGTCCTCAGCCTCCCAATCTCTAACTCTGTACCCAGATCTCACCACAGGTGTAAAGGAAAAACCCAAGAACACCTGAAAGAAGATGGATTTTTCTTAGAGATTAAATGGATCTGAAGTACCCACCAGTTTAATCTCGCCCATCTCAAGATAGGAAGACTCAAAACATTTCCAAAACTACCTATTCTAACAGATCATTGAAAGAGAAATGAAGAGGCAGCTTGCTAAGTATCTTATGTCCACCCTGAATCAGAACTTCAGTGAATAAAGCCAATAAGGTAACATGTTTCTAGAAGAGGAGAGTACTAGAGAATGAATTTCTTCTGCAATCATTCTCTCCTTGTAAAGGAAGGGGGGTAGAAACCCAGAAAAATAAACCCCCAAAGTAAGACAGACATTCCCTCCCCGTTATCCCACCAAGTGGTTAAGTGTCCAAGAGTAGTAGAAACCATACAAAACAAGAAGATTGTGTGACAGAGAGGGTACAAATGAAACACTACAGATGATACAGGGAAGAATGGGTAAAGTAATGGATATACAGCTAGTAATATATTGGCTTAAAACCAAAGGATTTTACAATACTAATAATTGGTTAGTAACTTCCTGTCCTCTTTCAAATAAAATGGCATTTTTGGATCTACAGATAAAGCTGGTATGCCTGTTTTGGCATGCAATAGATTGGTTTAACAGTCACAGAAAGAGGTCTAACATACAGGACGAACAGTAACAGCTGATATTAGACACCTGAATTACATGCACATACATCTGCCCACTTAATTCTGATTAATGCCCTTAAATCACACTGACAGTTCACCCCAAGCACTTTCTTAATCCTGCGTTTCTTTTGTACAGAAAATATTCTACATCGGAAAAATATTAATTAGTATATTTACAATCTGTAACGCGTTAATTTTCCTCCAGTCCCACCTGCCATGAAACACACATTTGGGGTATTCCCTTTTCACTAGGATGGTATATTCTCATCTAAGTATTTTCCACAATTCCACAAATTATAAATACTTCACAATGCTCAGGTGAACTACCTGCAAGAATACGTAGGCTCTCCCACTTTAAACACACGGCCACAGAGATGGGAAGGTTTGTTCGCTTGCTCAAGCTTTGGAAAACCAAATGCAGGGTCTTCACTGCAAAGATACCATTCCATTGGTCCCAGCAAAACGTGTTGTGCCAGCATGTCTTCTCTTTGTGGGGCAGGGTTAGGACCCCTGCAGTAAATTTTTGGTACATAATAGGCCAGATGCTGGTAGACTTCTTTCTGAAGGTCATTTGCTTGAAGCCATTTCTTTTAAATTAAAAGGAATGAGAACACAAATCGGTCATTAATAAAAACACCAAACAATTCTATCCACCAAGATAACTTTTATTTCTACATCAAAAATCTAAAATGGCATTGTAAAACTAGAAAGTCATGCTTCCTTCCAAGTGTTAAATCTAGATGATCACAGAAGAAAGACATTAGGAAAGGAATAATTTGGTTCCCTGCTTGCACATTTTCTCCTTTTGACATACAATATTATTTTCAAAAACTTAGTTTTTGGGAAAAAAAAAAAATACCCACACTTAGATTTAAGAGACCAAATTGTTACAAATTTTCCTCCAGGATGCATGACCAGTAAAACGCCCCAACATTAGCAGTGACTTTTAGAATAAGGCCCAAACTGTGTGGGTTGCAATTCTCTGGAGTGCAGAGTGATGCTGCCAGCTGGGGACACAGAGAAGCAGCGGAAGCCTGGAGTTGGCAAGGAACAGGCAAAGACAAAAAGTACAAGGTGAACAGCAAACGCAGCATTAGGTAACAGTCCCTCTCTCACGTAACTTTAACAATTTACCTATGAAAATGAGGGGATTTTGGTTTCTCCTCCCACCAAAATAACTTTATCTAAATTATTATTTCAAGTGTGATGTTAGATCCATGAATTCTCTTAGTCAATCAATTGTAAAAAAAGGTTGACAAGGGATTTTAAAAGCCATCAAACTACTGTACCTGCTATAAGCCACTGAAAAAACTCACAGCTCTTTCAAGGTTTTTCTCCTCCTTGCATATACACACCGAGTAAAAAAAAATAACCTTCTAGGATAACATTGGTCTTATTCTGCCTTATGGATTACAATTTTATAAAGGTTTAAACTGTAAATTAAGGCTGCAAGGTTTTTATAATAAACAAATGGACACAAGCACATACTGCTAGTGTGCACTGATTAAATCCTGTGTTACATAAACAGCCTTAGTATGCCACTTCTCATTGTAAATATGACAACCAGACACCCCCTGGCAACTTCAGGAAGAGAATCTACAATCAACCTAAAACCGCACATGAAAAACAAGAATTAATTATACCAAAATAAATGGGTTTGGTAATCAAAAGTTACAGCTTGATTTACTCTGAATTATTTATGACTTACCCTAAAGAACTTGTTTGAGACAATGCAGTTGTAGTAAGAGTTCTTCAAGGTACAGACATAGAGTCAGCAGAACATTTGTGCCATTTAGAAGTGGCTGCCTTTTGCCTTTCATTATATTTCTATTTCTATAAATGTTGTAGTATTTACATTTATTAGACTACGTTTTCTAAAGAAGAACTTCGTATAACACCCCCCCCCCTTATTTGTTGGTACAGCTGTTAGTACAATAATACGCTTTCCTCACTTCCCTTTCCCTAAGTTTGACTTCTTAAGTCATATCTACTAAATCTTTCTGTATTAATCTAGGTTTGATGAGCAAAGCCCAGATTTTTTCCAAGGAATTCTGTGGGAAAAGGTTGCCAAAGAGCTTTATCCAGCAATCCAATTGTTCACAGATAACCTCACCATTCCCACAAGGATTCAAAGAATAGCGTACAAAAATTAAATAAATAAAACCCATAAAGTTTGCATTACTAAGAATTTGCTTTGGGTTTTTGTCCTAGGTCATTAATCTTTTCCCCTCATTTCGTCATTTGTGCCAAATATCTACCAGTACCAGGAACTGACCCAAACACAGTGAAACTGACTTAATACCACCCATGACTTCCATTTGATATGATCATTTTTAGATTAGTTTCTAGGGCTAGATATTAGTTATCATGCCTGCATTTTTCCAAGCAAAATACCTTTAGCTTCAGCCTTTTAATTCAGCAGTGCATTACTTATTTTTAGCTAGAAAATACACAGTGCCTATTAGCTACACTACAAGCTCAGACAAATACCTAGCCAGAGAAAATTCTTGTTCCTCGAGTAAACTGCTTTCCCATCCCAAAAATTCTGGGAGTAGTTGCCCGAGAGTTAGGTGTGGCAACACTGAGTGTCATCACACCTAAACCTCTCTGTGGAGCCAGTTCTATACACCAAACTGTGCACACAGTTTTGAAAATCCAATCCAGGCTAATAGAGTATCTGAGTAAGTAGGGACTTCAAGGACAAGGAAAGAGATGTCACTTGCAGGGGCTGGAAAGCAACTCAAAGTACTGTTGTGCATAGAAAACTGTTATCAGAAATCTATACATATGCATACATACGTTCCACTGCCTTTAAATATATACATATGCAGGCATACGTTGCACTGCCTTTCTAAATTGCTACCTGGTAGGCACTGAACTCCAGCGTAACTACTCAAAACTCTGGACTCTCCGGCCGCAATTTTTGACTGCCCTGAATAAAACAACACACCCAAAAAGCACTGATCAAATAATATTTTATGTAAGTAAATACCTAATGGTCCATCAGGGTTTCTATTAAATCCACATCTAAGTAGGAGTTACCAGGAGAACAAAACATATAATACAAAGAAGCCATAAAACAACTCAAGTTTATTGTTTCAAAAGCTAAAGGTATAATTTATGTTTTCCTTAGCTATACAAAGAAATATTTGCAAAGTAGGCTTGCATTCTGTTACAAATATTTTAATCTTTTGATCCTTATTCTTTGAAAATTTATTGTTAAGTTGCTGCAATAAGAAACTGAAGCTTAAAGGACTACAACTATTGCTTTGGGTTGGCACCTCTTTTGTTAATACTGGGCTATCAGCAAAGGAGGGAGAAAAACCAATGTTAAAACCCCAGGACCTTGTTCACATATACAACCCGGCAGTGCCAGCAGCACTGAGTTGCTAGCACATTGCAGATTTGAGTGACAGATCTCAGAATTGTAGCTTGTGCTGGTGATGACAGAGAACAAAAATGAGAAAGAACTCACTAAATTTAAGCTGGCACTTGTACCTATAGTGAATTCCTAAATGTATTCCTCTTGCTACATGTCTGCCTTGGGTGAGATTGCTTTGGGTCTACGGTGTGACCCAAAAAAACCATCTGCTCCTCACACAAACAAGGTAGCCGGGGCTACTTTACAAAGTGTTTGATGGAATTACTGGGTTTATTGTTGATGGGAAGGAAGACTGGAGGTAAACTAGCTAGGATATAGCTAACCACGTACATTTGCCCACCGAATCATACTTTTGTCAGCACTGTAGCTACACCAGCATAATCTGAGGATAACCTGACATAACACTGCCTTTTATTTTCTTTTGGAAAGCAGCCAAATTCTCATGGAAATACACACAGACAGCTCTTCATGGTCTTATCCTTTAGACACGCACATGATCAGTCCCCATATTTTAACATATGTATCCAGTTCCTCAAATGCACAGGTGTCTAAGCGCTATCACCTAGGCCAGAAACAGGTTTCTCTAAAACCTTTACCCTCAAGGCTTCACTCTCTTCCCTTTCAACTACTCTTCATAAAAGCGGGAAAAACATAGAAACAAAAGTAGACTGCTTCAAGCATTACACTGATTTTACTAGTTTGTCCTCTATAGGCATCCCATTCTAATAGTCCTAAGCTTAACTACTGCAAGCTTTTGCCAGAACTGCATCTTAAATATCGGGGAGGAAGGAAGACTCCTGTAACGAAACTTCGACACTGCAAAGCATATTTGGGGGCAGACATCCCCCTAAATTAATGGAGAGGAATCTTCTCAGGTCGAGGAACGAGTGCCGGTAGAGAGATATGAAAAGGCAGCAAACTCGACGGGAGAACCAAACTTCTCGGCTGCCTGGGGAAGGCGAGGAAGCAGTAACGAAGGAGAGACGTACTGAGAAGCG